ACACACACACACACACACACACACACACACACACACACACACACACACACACACACACATACACACACACATAGACACACACACAAAACAGAATTGTATTATGTGTCGGGAGAAAAATTATTGTCCACACATGTTTTATGTGAGCTTTTAATTCCTCCTCCATCGCTATAATTTAGACAATTTAAAAGGCTGGCTTCGACCCTGCCAGTCAACGTCAACAAGGGCTGAGAGGGATAAATAAAAAGTCCCAGTAAAACCAAAATCCGGATCGAACTCATGTTTTTAGAGTGCTGCGGCTAAGTATCTAACTACTCCACCATAGAGATCGGCATTTTCCAAACAGATAAGAGAACCTTTCTCCCAACGCCAGTTTTGGGCATTCATATTTAGTGTATTGTTACTCAAACAGAGCGGTAAATAAATGATAATGACAAAAAAGGGAAATTAATTAAATGTTTGAGGCAGTATCATGGTCTTTATCCTTTTTTATAGACGTTGGAGCAAAGCCAAGGCTCCAGACAGTGATGATTTGTTCTATGAATTAAAAGTGTTGTGGGGGTTTTTCAAACTCCCAGAATGCTCTTTTTTGCCTCAGATATAATGCACATACTTTTTAGGCTAACGTACCGAGTTCAATTTCTGGTTTGTCCAGTTCCAAGTGCTAAACGACTTTTTGAAGGACTTCATTCCAGATCCCAGGTAAGGTGCAACCCAATAATATCCTTTAAAGAATAAGGGCAAAAAAAAATTCTTGAATACATAATTATTTGAAACTTAAAGGTAACAGAAAAATGAATGTCGCTTAATAAAATGCTTCAAATTACGGCCATGTTTGTGTCCTTGGGAAAGACACTTCACACGAATTTTCCCATTTGGCTTTGCCATAGCGAAGATGGGCGTTAAAACGTTAAATTCGATGACCTTGTCTCTCAATAATAAACTTGCAGTACAGTGCTGCAAAGCACGTTTACATACAAATATCGCATACCCCCCCACCCTCTCCCTGTGATTTTACTGTAGATTTGCAGGAGAAAGAGAAGACTCACCATTGTAAAGAAAAGTGTTTGTGTGACCACCCACAATAATGTCCACTCCCCGGAACGCACGTGCCAAGTCAATGTCTTGGGCATACCCCGAGTGACCAACGGCGATGATTTTGTTGATGCCTTGACTGATCAGGCGGTCCACTTCAGGCTGGACAGTGCCCAGTTCTGCGCTGAATTTTGCCGGTTCTGGGTTGTTGAATACATTCATCATATTTAGTATATGATTAAAGCAGCATTTTGCATTTTGTATTAAGGATGCAGTTACCGTAGTTCATAGTGCAGCCTTATCCCAAGGATCTTGTGAACAAGTACCTTAAAATCTTCGTGTTATTGAAGACATGGTTCATAAATATGCCTACGACAACCACGTCTACATTTAAATCAAATGATGATCTTGATTTATTTCCATGGTCTCTCCACTAAAATATTGGCTCTGGTCAGTTAAAACAAAACATTAATACAATATCTTCGCAATGTTAAAAGAGGAATCCTGTTAGAATCGAATGATACAGTCAACATTTAACACAACTGATTATAAGAAATATATGTATTCTGAAAACGAGGCCAAGACAAAGAGGTACATGTGAATCAAAATATAATCTTGATTTATTTCCATTGTTTCTCCACTGAATTAATGTCACTGTTCGGTTAAAATAAAACCTGGGAAGATATTTAAACACAGATGATGGCTTTATTCGTGAAAATCTGGGACTTTCTCATCGGTGAATAAATGAAGAGTTTTAAACACTTCTCTGGAATCACTCCAGTCGAGTTGCCGAGTAGAGCAGAGCCCTTCTCTGTAAAGGAGATGTGTAAACAGTATTGTGCACAAAAAGTTTGAATGCGTTGCTTTTCGATTTTCAATATTGTTTACAAGTTGTAAGAGATATATTTCCTAATCACACACAATACTTCACCCACTTCTTACGTCATCTCCTTGCTTATTCTAAAGTTTCAAACTTTAGAGCAAACCTCAAAGGCCATTTTAATGGTCTCCACGACGACTATAATCTAATATCATCAGCATT